TTCTTCAAAAACTGTATGACGGATTTTTAAAAAAAATGATTTAAAATCTGCCATTAAAGTTAAAAAATGGATGATTGAAATAAAGTAATATTTTCAAATGAAAGTAAATTTAATTTTTTCAGGTCTGATGGTCATCAATATTATTGAAAAAGAAATGGAGAGGCACTAAAGGATTAGCATGTCTTAGGTACAGTAAAGTTTAGTAGTAGAGAAATATTTTTATGGGGTTGCTTTACGTCTCAAGGAATCAGAAATTTGTGTAGAATTGATAATGGCTTAGATGTAAAACTTTATTGTAAAATTTTAAATGAAGATTTCTTAGGAACTTTAACATATTATGATTTAAATATAGAAAATGTTATCTTTTAACAAGATAATGATCTAAAACATAAGACACAAATAACTAAAAGATGGTTAGAAAGTAAAAATATTACCATATTAGATTGGCCTGCTCAATCATCAGATTTAAATTTGATTGAATATTTATGGAGTGAAATGGAATGACGATTAAGAAATATTAATAAACCTATTAAAAATAAGAATGAGTTTTGGGAAATGATTCAAACAACTTGGAATAATATCGAAACGAATGTTTGTATTAAATTATTAAATTCTATGCTAAAGCGAATCAATGATGTTTTAAGCCAAAAAGGTTGCTATATGAGATGGTAGGGTATATAAAAAATATTTTTTTAATATATAATTATTTTTTATACAATTATTGTAAATATTATTTTTTTTTTAAATTTATATATTTTTTTTAAAATAGTTTATAATATAATAATTTAATAAATAATGAAGATATTAAATTTACTAATTTTTTTATTTAACATTAAATTAAATAAAATTTTTAAATTTTCTATATAACTTTATTTTAAATTTATATATATAAATAGCTTGAATTTAGAGCTTTTTAAAAAATCTATTTGCATAATTTTATAATGAAACTACATGATTTAAAATGATAAGCATTAATTTGTATTACAGACTTACGTTTCTTTTGTAGGCTACTGTATGTGATAGTAATTTCATAATAATAAAGAAAAATTATATATAAATTAAATATTTAGAAAAGAATATACTAGTCTACAATAAATATTTGGATTTTTATCACATTAATTTGCATTTCTGTATTATGATCGCTGAATTTTCCCTATCATATATATAAATAAAAGATAACAATAATATTATATTTTATTACTCTTCTAGTTTTAAATACATAAAAATAAAGTTTTAAATAATAACTGAGAATAAATAATCAGTACATATCTTACTGATACTAAACAAACTATCATTTCTACATAACTTAATATGCTAACTAGTACCATAAGTGATATTATAAAAAAACATAAAAAAACTGATTTTACAAAATTTAAGCAATGTCATAAAAGATCTAAATACTCAAAAAATATAATACCTGAGCTTTAAAATGTATAATACGTGTTCACTGATTTTTCTCCTTGATTATATGACAGACAAGTTTAATAATAACCTTGATACAACTTCACACTATAATATGGTCAGAAGTTACCTTTATAATGAAGGTCTTAGAAGTTATATTGCAAGAAAAAAACCTCATTTAATTGATAATCATCAAACTAACTGCTTGAAATAGTGTAAAGAAAAATAATTAGTCAAAAGAATAAAAATAAGTGGTTTAGTCAGATGAATCAAGGTTCTTTCTTTTTTAATCAGATGGTTAAGAAAGTGTATGGAAAAGTTTTGGAAAAGCATATGATAAAGATTATATTCAACTTATAGTAAAGTTTGAAGGGGATCAGTAATGTTTTAGAGGTGTTTTTGCTAATATAAGATTAGACCGTTAATTATATTAAAAGTAAACATGATTTTAATAAATACATTAATATTCTGACAAATTATTTCATCTTATAAGTTAACAATTATTCTAACTCTATTTTTTAGCAAGATGGAATATCATGTTATACTTTAACTTACAGTATTTGGTAAATGAAAATACATAGCATTTCAATTTTAGATTGAGTAATGCAAAACCCTAATCTTAATCTAATAAAGTATTTGTGAAATTATTTGGATAGTTAGATTTGAAAAAGAAAGCCTGTACTTAAATCTAAATAAGAATTAATTGGAATAGTATAAGATCAGTAATGAAAAATCACAATTGAAATATGTTATCACCTAATTTTAAGTATGTCTAATCAGGTTAAAGCAGTAATTAAGGCCAAAGGTGATCATACTAAATATTAATTTTTTTTTATAATATTTTTACTATAATTACTTTATATTTTATATTTTAATATAATAAAATTTATTTGTCAATTAAGAAGTATAAATAAATTTTTTATAAGTATCATAAAATTATGAATTTTACCTGTAAATTTTATAAATAAAAAAAAAATCCAAATATTTATTATAAGCTAGTATAATAAGTTTATCTTATTTCTTAATATAATTATTTATTAATAAATAACTTTTAAATATTATATTTAATATATAATTTATTCCTTTATCTGTATATAAATACTGATAAAATCAGCATTAATAAATCTTTTTGAAATATTAATACTAGTGCTTCATACAGGTCGGGTTGAGTCTAGTTTAAGGAATGTTCAAACTCAACTCAAATATTCATATAAGTTGACTCAAATTTTTAGGTCAATCAACTATGTAACCTGAACTTAATTTGACTTGACTGTAATTTAATTCGAATAACTTGGATTGAACTAAATTTATATAAATTTTATTATGTTCAGCAAATAATAGTAAAATTAATTAACAAGTTACAATTTAATAATATTTTTTTATTATTATAGGATATTATCTAGTCGAATATGAAATATTGACTTCTAAAAAACGTTGTCAAATTAGAATGATCATCAAGCATAATCATTTCAATATAGTAAGTGAAATAAAGGTTCAACTTAAAGAAAAAAATCTGAAGCTTGAAGTTAGTAAATAGATCATTCATCGTAAGCTAAAAAAATTGATCAGTCTAAATCACTTTCATGTCTACCAAGATTTTAAACACATATATGCATAATAGTGTGTTTTAAGGCTACTTCTTTTGTTGCTACTAAACAAACAGTTAAGACACCTAACTTCACAGTGTGTTTTCGCACTTTATGCTTTAATAGAAGGTCTTTCTCCTTAAAGAGATTATTAATAAAGAGCTTATTATACAAACTTTTTCATTTTAAGTTGAGATACTGGTTTAATAAGGTCAATAATTTTAGATATATTTATATTTTCACATATATAAGCCATAAACAAAGTTAAAATTTAATGCGTAAAAATAACTTTTTGTATAGGAAAAATATGTGTAAAATTTAGCATAAAAAAAACTTTTTGTGTGAGAAAAATACGTATAAAATTTAGCGTAAAAAACTTTTTTGTGTGAAAAAATTTATGTATTATTATAATATCATCTCAGGTCATCCAGATTATTCTGAGTCAAAGCAACAGTATAACTCTAACCTGACAGATCAGGTTATATGAATCACAAGTTATCAAAATTACCAATTCTGACTCGATTTAAAATTTGGATCAGGTTAATCATCCAGGTTTGACCTGATCCTTTTTTTAGAACACTAATTAATACTTAATTATTATTGATATATGAAAATTTATTTAATAAAAAACTGACAATAAAATAGAATTAAACTAAAAAAAGAATGAATAAATAATAGAAATAGTATAATTATTAATCTGATTAATGAGAAACTAATATTTGAATTTATTATAAAAGGAAAATAAGAATTTTAACAGGAAGAAATAATATGGATAATAAATTAAAGGATAAACTTAAAAAAATTAAAAAAGGTTTAAAAAGGAAAAATAAAATGAAAATGAAATAATAAATTTCTAAAAAAAAAACAACATACAAAAAAAAATGAAATAACTAAAAAAAATAATAAAAAAAGATTATGTAAGAAAAATATTATAGAATAAGAAAAATTTCAGAAGGAAACAGAAATAGAAAAGAAAATAATAAAGACTAAATTGATATGTAAGAATTATAATTAGAATGATTGTAATAATGATTAATAATAAAGAATAAAGAAGCATAATAATGAAGAAAAAGGATAAGAAAAAATAATAATAATGAAATAAAATGAAAAATATGAGCGTTGTTGAATCTTAGACAAATAAAAATTAATTTGTAAAATAAAAATAAATCTTTTTAATGACAAGTGGAAGTTATTTAACTCATAAAATTACAACATTCAAAATATTTATTAATATTTCAGATTTTTTAAAATATAAAAATATTAATAGCAATTAAATATAAAATTTAGTTATATTTAAGAAGAATTAATTTTGTATTTAAAATTTTAGCAAATTAATATTTTAAATATAAAAGTTTTATATTATAAATTAGGAAATACTGCCAAAAAAAGAAAAGATGAGTTAATGCTAAATCTGAACATAAATTATTCTGGGACACATGACGCATCATGCGCCACTATCGGCTATCATAATTTTTATTTAAAACTAGGAAATGGGAACCATTGTAAGTCCTGAGCTCAATAATCGCAAAAGGAATTATTGGTTTACATCAAGTGAGCGGACAGAAAAAACATACGTGAACGAAAAATTTTCACATTGTGCAGACTTATATTGTCTTTTCGCTTCGCTCAGGACAAATTAATTATGTAAATCTTCATTGTCTTGGGTTTTTTCTTTTAATGTAACCTAACTTCATTATTTTCATTTCAATTCAAAACAACAATCCATATACAGTATGTTATAATATAAAGATAAATGATTTTTTAATATTTAATATTTTATTATTTATATAATACAATTCGAAAATTTCATGATAATTAAAATATACTTGTGATAATAATACATGAACGAAATAAAAAATTTTAAGGTTTTCTTAAAGATGAAATGTTAATTTTTACAATAAATGATTTAAATGGTTGACTTTCATAACTTTCTCATTTCCACCCTTGATTCCGGTATCTATGGTGATGAGATAAGAGAGAGCAATTTGCGTGGTCACATTTGTAATCGACACCTTATTCTCGGTAATATTTAATGCTATTAACATATGATACAAGAATGCGGTCACTACGGTCAAAAAATTCCAATACATGACAATGGTAAACATATCTTTTGGATAAGAATATCCAATTTTTGGGTTATTTTTTAAAATCTGCATCAATCGATACATGACGTAACCATCGATAATGATATCAACGAAGGTCAAATTACTGAAATAAAAACCGCTTTCACTTTTTTCGCTTTTCATTCCACCATAAAAAGAAGTAGGATTTTCAGACAGATTGGATGAAGGAATCATTGGAAAAGTATATACAAACTAATACCAAACGAAAAGTAAGGAAAATTTAAATTAATTGCAAAATTTACGACGAAAGCATCACCATTTAATACCTACATGAAATCCTGCTCTGACAATAAGCAATCCAATGCTCATCCACATGTCAGAATCGTTTTTCTCGTACCGTCTTAGAAGTGTTAACATGAAAGTGGCCAATGATTGCATTATGAAAATCTTAAAAATTGTCTGATAGCTAGACCACATACATTCTTTTAAAGATATGTTTATCATCAAATCTATTATGGAGCACGCTAAGCAGCTAAGATTAAAAAAAATCTTGAGCAAAGACAAGCTTCTTTCCCGTCCAGCGCGATAAAGAAGAACAGATTTAACGAGGTTTTGGAACGTGAGCTGAGAAATCATGAAGTGAAGAGTAAGTTATAAGTATATATTTGAAAATTGACAATATCATTTTGATAATTCAACCAACCATGTTTAACATTCCAATCAAAAGCATATTGAACTTAATTTCATAAGACTTATTTTCCATTTCGACGCGTTAAATAATTTATTTATTTTTTTTTGGTTTTTTTTTTCTTAGGTATGTTGAGGAAAAAAATTTTTTACTTGCGACGGGTCGAATTATAGACGCTTTTATAGTAACCGGTCTGCATCCATTATACATATTTTTTTTTTTATTTATGTTGTGGGAAAATATTTAAATTATTCGAATTAATCGGAGAGACATACCGATATGAAACATACCAATTAGGCAATTCAATTAACAATGAATAGTATAAATAAAAAACGGACGGAAATGATTTCCGATAAAATAATAAGTAATACATGTATCTTAAAAATCATAGCGTAAATCTTTCTCATGAATTTTGAGCCTTTTTACTAAATAACTCGGGTACATGAAAATAAATCAAAAATCAAAAATTAGGAACGCTAGAGGAGCATAGCGGGGACATGCTTATATCACCATGCCGATCCTTTGTCAATCATATATATGTTTTTATCACATTTATTTTGTCAAACCTTTGACGAAACTATAAATTTTTGGGTAAAATTATATTAATATACTAACTATTAAAAGTTGAAACTATTACAAGTGTATATTATCACAATTGCCGATCATCTGACTTTGAAGCTTCGGACGAACCACAGATAATTTCGGGCGAACTCTGAAATTTTCACTATATATTAATTAACTATTTAGGAATGTAAGGTGAAATGAAACCAGTTCAATTCGCTTGAAACCAAAAAGTTATTTATATGCTATTTACAACCAATTTATTAATATACAAATAGATTGTAATATTATAATCAATATTAGAATTTCAAGTTTATTTATATGTAATATTTGTTAATTAATGCATCATATAAGTTGATAATAATATATATATTAATAATAAAAATTGTTCATAACTAATTTTATTTAATAGTTATTCAATTTTAGTAAAACTAATACACTAGTACTCAAAGATTATATACATATATCTGCACATATTATTATGCTGAATTGTTTAGTCGGAACTAATTTACTTAAAAAAATAGCTGATAACGGTTACTTTTATCGCAAAACATTACTTCTAATAAAAGTCACTCAATATTGATTCAATTTTAATAAAAATTGATATTTCGTTGCTTCATAACATATGTATTAAATAATAGTATGTTAATTTACTACGATATTCCGATTCGAGTTAAACGGCATTTTTAATATGTGATAAAAATGAATAAATGATCGACAAGTGATCGAAAAATGAACGCCGCACTATGTGATAAAATCGAGATGTACGCTATGCTCGCTAGAGGTTATTTCAGAACGAAGTTTCCGGATAATGCAAGATGGTATTTTTGCAAATGATTGACCCTTTTGGAAATAATTTGACATTTTATTATATCTTACATAAATAATTCAAGCTTTTTATTTATTAATCGAAATAAATTCTCAGAACAATGATGGAAATTTTGGAAGGATCGGCGGTATATTTCAAGTAAATCCAGGAATAAAATACCATTTTCTTGAATATTTCATTGGAAGAAGCCTAATAACTCCTAGAAATGGTTTAGCATCGACAATTGAATTTAAAAGACATATTATTATGTTACCGTTTAGATACGGATTCAAATGTTGTACGACCTCAGTTTCAGATGCCCCAAAAAATCTGTAAAATTTTAGAATGGGAATATTTTCAAGAGGATAGCAAAGTGTAATTGTTTCTTAAAAGGAAATACAATGTAAAATTTGAAAGTTCATCACGAATAATTCATTTAATTTCTAAAAATAACGATTCAAAGTAGGATAGTCCATAAATAACAAACCACTGATGAATAACCTATTAAAAGGAATTTGAACAATTTATATCATAAAATCTTTAATTAATAACCTTGAGCATTATTTATTAAAAATACCGCAAACGTTCACTCCTTTGCAATATTAATTAAGATGCCTTTGAATATACTTCCTTTTCTGATTCAACAATCACAAAGATTTCTGTTCATGTGATTGTTGGCAACGTTATCCTTCATTTTTTTTTTATTCATTCTTAAAAGGGTTTTGCTTTCAAAATTGCGACAAGCTAATGAGTACAGTCTCATAGGATTCGAGAAAGCTAACCAAAAGATAATGACCATTGAACAGAATAGAATAGTTACTAATATACGAAAATTTTATTTACCGATTTTAGAAATGATTTGCGTTGATAATGAGACTTCATAAGTGGAATGAATTAAATTTATCCAGTAAATTCAATGATTCATATATTGTTATCCACTTTGACTCGGGTTAAATGCATTGTTAACGACGCACTTGCAATTGAATGATGCAAACAAGTTTGAATGATAAAATTCAATTTATGAAAATCTACATTCAGAAAATGAACAGCAATCTTCGGGTCAACAGAATTCATCAATAAAATATAAAGCAACAACTTCCTGGTTTTGAGGCGTTGTGGTTTTCCAAATGTTTTTTCTTTTAATATGTTCGTTGGCAAATATGGTACGAAATTTTCGTTAACTTCGCAGAGCTTTTTTATTTTTACACGGGTTACATAAATTTTAAAATTTAATTAAATTATTTTAATGTCTAAATGTCTAATCTTAGAAAGTTCTGATATTTTTTTTGCGTTGATACTCCTTAGACAATATAAAAATGTAAAATTGCATTTTAATGATAACTACGCATTATTCTAGCGCGAATTATTCTTAATTTCTTAAATATATTAATGTTTTGAATGCCGCATTTGTAGCAGCCCATTAGATTATATTATTTTCATATAATGTTAAATATACGGAAAAAAAAAATTGATCAACTCTTAACGTTAATCTTAATTTACAAAATTTTAATAATTATAACCGAGGAAATAACCAAGATGATGTGTATTATCCTGCCCTGCGGAAAATATCAAAATGATGAATTAATGGCGTGTCCAAACGAAAAATAAGAAACGCGCGATATCAAAAAGAAAAATTCTTACCTTGTAAAAAACATTTTTTTTAAAAAAAAAATAAATAAATAAAAAAATATGTTTGCTTTAATTGAACGAACTTCCATTAAAAAATTCATAGATCTTAAGATCATCTGTATTTTGAGCTGGTAGGTTTGCGATTCTATTCAATGTATCTTCATTGATGATGAATTTTTGCCTTCTACGCCTTCTTCTTTGAATAATGTTTCTAGGAGATCTTGTACAAAGTTTGAGAGGCCTATTTGAATGCATTTTTGAATAATTAATATTATTGATAATGGTAAACTTGTAGCGCAAGTATATTTGAGAGTAAGATAAATCAATCCATATTTATACCAAAGATTTTGTATAAAAAAGCAAAGTTTCAAAGAAACAAATTAAATTTGTTTTATTATGATAAAGTTTATGAAATTCTAGATCCTGTTAATATGGAACGTTGTACTCAAACAATTAACAACGAGGCGCGTTAAAAAATTCGAATCGATTTAATTTTTTATTTTTTAGATAAAGTTTAGGAAATCTAGATTCAAAGATTTCATCTTATTCTGGATGTGTACAACTCACGCATCAATCATGGCTTAATCTATTTGTTTATATGCACACAACATGATCATAAATGGTCATAGAAAAGTGACATATTTCGAGTGCAACTCCACATTGTGAATTTATGCATTCAATGACAATGTTTATATTAAACAATTAATTATAATGATAGTCTAGATTTTTCCGCATTAATCAATGGCAATAGACTTGTTTTTCTAAATAAAAAGAAGAAAGAAATGAAATGTTACTAATCAAATAATAGTTTTTGATATTCGTGCCTGGTTACAGTATTTAAAAAGATTTGCGCTATTACAATCATAAAGATGGTCTGGTGCGTTCTAGAACAAAAATAATCTTGTAATACGTTTTATTTCTTGTCTTTTCTTAATTAGCCTTTCAAAGAAAAAATCATTAAATGGGAACTTGGGAACTGCTGGGAAAAATCATTTTACTATTACATGCCAAATATGATTTTTACATTCAGATTTAGCAATAATTCTACATTTACTATTTATATGATCTTCAGATCATTACCAGGATATGGAATCCCGCGCGTTTTAAATACGGGAGAAGAATTTTTATGTAATACAACATAAATGAGAATCACATATGTACAGTACCACGAATTTAGGTTTCACAAAATGTATTGACCGAATACAGTATATGTCATAGTGCACTTACATAACTTCATACTCTTTTTTTAAAAAAAAAAATTTTTTACTTTTATGATGAAGTTTATTATTTAAAAAGAGATTGAAGAAGCAAGAGTTGGGTTTTGCTAAGACCATAACATTTTTTTAAATTGAAGTTTATTAACATCCCAATCCGTTATAATAAAGAGTTGTATCGAAACTCAGATATCCTTAAAACCGGTTTCAAAACCAGTTTAAAATCGATTTTTTTACTAATTAGTAGTATTTGGCTTATTAAATATTAAAAACGTTAATTATAGGTTCTTATTATCCTCTTATTAAATAAATATGAAGCAAACAAAGGTTTAGATGTCTTGGAAATGGTTCGTATTCAATTCTTTGTTTCCAACAAGGATTTCATTTTATATTTCACCCGTGTAACTTATATTATAGTTAAATTAAGAACCAAATTTATTTATTTCATCATAATCTGAACTATTCACATTGACCTTATTATATATATAATTATCAGGTTGAAATTTGATCATTATTTACCAAAGATGATGTAGAAGTTAAAGCAATTTACCGTTGATTTATCAAGAAATATCCAAAACAACAATTAATGAACAAACTATGACGGGTAAAAAGTTATCTTTAAAGAAGAAAGGCATTATATGTAAGTAATATTGTAAAAAAAAAAAATCAAGTTTCAAGAAATATCAAATATTCCACTCTCATAACATTAATCGTCAACCCAAAATGTTGAAATATATTCACAATTTCATCCAGTACATTGAATTGATCACCACATGGACGTTCGTTGGTAACGCAATTTATACTTATGATTATTTTATTAACAATTAATCCAGATGATAATTTTTTATTTTTATACGTTAATTCAGAAATTATTGTGAATACTGAATACGGAAATTTCAATTGCAATGTAAAAAAAATATATATTATTTTCTTTGAGAAAGAAGAGAATTTTCGATAGTGATGGAATGTTCTTGAGGTGAAAATGCAAATGATATTATTTTTAGAAGAATTACCCTTAAACGCCTTAAATGAGTAATTAATAGGATTACCACGTTATAAATCTTGCATCAAAGATCATGATTATTATGATCACTTGCATGTCATGTAAGATTTGCTTATTGCATCAAAAATATTAAAATTTGAATAATATGTTTATTTTTATTTCTATTGTAGGCCTTCCTAATTTATTGTGCATAAATTGACCAGCTAGCATTGATTATGATCTAAATAAAGTTAAAATCAAAATTAAATGGAGATTAATTTATCCACATTGAAATAATATTGTTTGTAGTCAATTTTTAAAAAAATAATAATTATTTTTCGCTAGGAACTTACAAAAACAAGTCTATCTTTTGTTGTTTAGAAATCAAAGAATATGTGGTTAATTTTGCTTTCGATCTCGGTTGATTTGATATTTTCTCTCCCGTTCAGTCTTTTCACCTTCTGATAGGTTACGCCACCATTTTGATACTAGTTTGCTGTATTCAGTCATTTGCATATTAGGTGGTTTATGTTTCATCATTTCCTTACGGTATGAAATAAACATATTTGGTTCTCTCTTTTTTGGTTTATTCATTCGTTTTTCTGATTTCTCTGGCTCAAAGAAATGGAATTGTGTTAGATTTTCACCCATTATTTAAGAAAATGTTTAAATAAGTAATTATGATTTGTATATGGATTTGATAACCGTTTATTACGAGAAAAATACGTTTTTTTTTTTTTTTTTTTTTTTTTTTTAAGAAAATAAAAGGCTATTTACGTATTTTTATTTTTTTTGCATGGAAATAGCTTATTCAAATTCCGCTTATATAACACAGATCTAAACAAGTATATAACGTAAACCAATGAAACATTTGTATAAATAAAGTGTTTTACTCTTTGTTAAATATTACAAAGAATTAAAGAATTGAATCTATGTTCTAGATTGTTTGTTTCAAGGGAAGTTTGGAATTTATGAATTCCTTTTTTCTTTTTCCATTTAAAGCCAGTTTGATAGTATAATTTTGCATTCATTTCCAACTCCATGTTTGAATGTGCCCCATGAAAAATATTTTTCGAAAGTAGTTACCAAATTTGAATTTTACAAAGCCCATTGTAAAATTTACTATTGTGTCAATCATTACGTAGTCTTTGGTTTTTTTTTTTTTTTTTTTTTTTTTTTTACAAAAAGACCTAAAAAAAAAAAAATTACGTTCATATCTAATTTGTTGACCATTAACAACCTCTAAAAGTTAGCGAAGTCACCATTGATGCTTTCTATGTCCCAAACATTCAACTCATACAAAATGAAATTACTTTCATTCCTCTACTTATTGATTATAATGGCAACATGGTATTTAACTTTTAATGGAAGATGATACACCGCATTCATATATTGGTATTACATCCACTCATTTTTCAAATAATTACACAGTTTCAGCAACAAGTTCAGCAACAAGTTAAGCGAATCTCGGAATGGGGACGGTTCTCTCGGTTCCAATTCGGTTTCACTTCGGTTTTGTTTCGTCTCTCCTAAAACTTTTGAACGCTAAGCTAAATACAAACAGATGCATGTGAAGTAATCAATTAAAAAATTTTTTTGATTGTTATCAAAATTCATGACGATCACGATTTTGATTCGACTCTTTTTGAGCCAAAAAGAGCAATTATAATACAACTTCAACGTAGTAATTTTCGATATAAAATCTTAGATGAGATGGGAATCATAGATAAGCAAAATTAATTATTGATTGATATTATTTTTGCATGCAGAACTCTGTAGTTTTTCATTTAATGTTTAATGAATAAAACTTGCCAATTACCAAAAACTGTTAAAAGAATTGCAAAATGCTGAAAATTCTTAATACTCACCGAAACCTTCGTCTTGATATCTAATCTTGATTTTAACATGCGATCAAAAATGATATTTATTCAAAATATAGTACATTTCACCTATACTCAAAAATAAAAACACGTGATTAAATTTGTAAATAACTTTTTAAACATAATTTATAAAAAAATAAAACCGATAAAATGAAAAGTTTATAACATAAGCTACAAAAGAATCGGGGGGTTTTTTTTTTTTAATTTTATTAAATTTTTGATAATTTCAGACTATCAATTCCGTAAGTTACCGTAATTTCCCATTGCATTTAATAAGTTACACAAAGTTTAAATAAATTTTCCGATGCCACTTCTTTCTAAAAACAAAGCGTCTTTATAATCAATTCCGCGAAAATAATGGAAGATTCGGAAAGTCTAAACTTTAAAAAAAATTCAGATAATGAAGAAAATTTTGGATGAACCTGGAGTTGAGGAAGTAGCTGGTGAGTGGGGAGAAGATAGTGGTTGGGAAGATGAAAATTGGTTGGGTGAATGTAGGAACTTTACAAGATGGGCGGGAAGTTTCAATAAATTTAGTTTAGAAGGACAATGCAGTATTAATTAAATAAACGAAAGCGTGGTCCTTATCTTGTTGGGCCGATGGAAAAGTCTACATATTATGACAAGTGGGTTCCAAATGGTACTTATACTGTTGCTGCAAGCAACACAAAAGTATAACCGGATATTTTTCTCCTACAAAGGACTTCAATAATAATACTTCCAGTCGATGAAGTTTTAGAATTTTTAAATAATAGAAATGAAGAGGATGGTTGGACATTTGAAAATGCTTTGCACAAAGTTACAACATTAAAAACTGAATTAGAAAATTTCATAAGAAAATGTCTATTTATTGAATACAATAAAAAAAGAGCAATATTTGAATATCTTCAAAGATTAGATGAAAATGGTAGTATGGAAGCCGCTAAAATAGTTTATTAATGCCCGGCAGTTTCCCCCTTTCTATTGCAAAAGGTCATTATTTTATCCATGAAAATATCCACTAAACGTCAAACACAATCACGTGCTAAATATCACCTTATTTTTATTTTATTCATTATGGATAGGAACAAAAAAATTTATTTTTGAAAATTATTACAATAGCGAATTAACTGTTACCCAATGATTTAAAATCTGCCCAGCTACAATTCGCGTCAACGTTCTGTACTTTCGGATCTCCATTAATCATTACAAAATCTTCATAATGATTTAATGTCAAAATATGACATTCGAATTCCCGATTTCACATTAAAAAAATATAGCACAATACCCGATTGAGTTTACTAAGATTTCTGAGAAAAGGGAATACTTTAATCTTATCGGGAAAAGGATTACTATCAGAAAATTATAGAGTCGATAGGTTTATATAAAAAGTAATGATTTATACCATTTTAAACAAGATTCAACAAAATATGTTGGGGTGAAAAAAAAGCCACAAGGGCAGGTGTAAAAAAAACAAAAAATTAGCGCGGTAAAAATTATGGTTGTTTCACAATAAAAATCAGTAAATTTTTGTCATTAAATTATAAGTTTCACTTAAACTGCAGTTTTACAGTCGACCCCCTATATAGTCACCCCATATATTGTCACACCTCCCTTATAGGACAAAAATATACTCTTATATAGTCACATCATATAAAGGGGTGTGACTATATAGGGGGTCGATTGTATATATAAAGGCAACTGTGCTAAAATTTTTCGGGTGGAAATATATCCAATGTAACAATACGAATATTTATATTAACACTTTATTGACTTTTGATTAAATTTGTTCTCGTCATTTCTTGGTTTACTTTATTTTTTTATATTTCTTTTCTTTGTTTGTTCCTTCTCTTTTATTGCCAACTGAAATGGATTATAATTAATTACTGTTACTATTTATATATAAAAATTTTTTATTAATAAATAAACCCGGGTTGATTTTAAAATTTTACTTGCCTCATACATGTTTATATTCTTTATATATATATATATTTTTTTTTTTTGAATTCGGTAATATAAATAAATTGGTTAAATCTCTTTCTGATCATTTTTATGTCGCCGAACAAATTTAATTAGTAAAAACTTGAAAGTACTTTTTTTATTTTTATTTTATTGAAAAATCGTATTTACGAAATCAAATATACCATTGGCGCATTTATTTATTATAATGAATACCGAAAAAACTAACATTGTAATTTACAATACACAACCTGATCATATATTGCACAAATATTTCTTTACGAAACACAATTCATGACAAACAAGGTCTGACATTGTGCAACATAATTCAATGATGAGCAAAAAATAATTGACAATATAAATTCTATTTTGATTAATAAGCGACTTTTCAATTTAATCTATATAATATAAGATTCGTTGTTAACTCTAAATATTACGATCCTAAGAACTTTCTTTTAAAACGACTTCAAAGTTGTCCTAATAGTTAGTTAATTTATAGAATGCAGGCGTTTCTTCAATTTATGTCGTATTCTAATCGATTATTTAAATTATGTACTTCAAATACTTAAAATAACCATTTTTTTATTTATAAAAAGAATTTCATGAATAATCCATCTTTTATTTATTTATTTGCGAATCATTTTTGTTATATAAAAGTATTTTATAATGATATGCAAAGCATTCAACCTCGATTTGAACATTTATCCATTGGAGATCCCACTAATTCCATGGAATGAAGTGATCGACGTCCCAGTCTAATCCATTCGTACAATTCATAATTCCGATTTAAATAATTTTTTTTATATTCCAAAATGAATTGCATATGTTTCGTCTTTGTCTGAAATCATTCAAGATAAGTTCTCCGAAACACTGCATAAATAACTTGCAAAAAGGCGTACAATCCCTCCCTTATTCTAATGATTTATACAGAATAGGTAGGCTTGGACAAAATGATATATCGAAAAACGGATAATAGGCGTTCGATTTCAATAACATTCTAAGAATGATTTTCAGCACTGATTAGCCATAAAACTTCTTTGCTTGGAAGATGAATAGCCTTTTCGCGGAAATCAGCTCCGTAATAGATTAAACTCGAAGATATCTCAGTAAAAATTCTCATGGGCGTTCGATTATTTCTATTAAGAACATTCTGATTTCACGCACTGATTATCTAAACGCTCATTCAAACAATAATGATGCAATATCTTTCCTATCATTTTAAAAGACGCGGAAATAATAACTCCGAGATTTATTTGTTATACACGCTATTCCCTTATTATATGGATACAATGTATCCTAATATGTGCTATTTCATCGGTATTCTCTACCGATTTGTTTCTGCCGAAATACATTTAAAAAAAAGTCTGAATACAAGAATACATGCAGCTAAAACAACGTTTAATTATCTTGTAATAAAGAAAAATTTACACAATCATAAGTTTACTGATGCATCTACAATTCACAGTACTTGTATATTTAATTATGCTGTACATACTATTAATTAATCAGGGTGAGTTATATTGGGCGGTTACGATCATATGAATTAGTATTCAAGTTGTTCTTAAAGGATCTTTCCTTTTTGTGGAATTGTCAGGGGTTTAGCTTTAAGTCTTTGTTTCATTTTTGTTTAAATATAATATATTATACATAGATATATTTTTTTTTAAAAAAAAGCAATCTTATAGATTATAAAATGGCATTAAAATCACGTTACGGATCATATAATTTACTATGTTCATAACTCGATATTAATAGCAAACCTCCCAAATATCAAATCATATTATAAAGAACATTACTCTCTCGAGATGGTGAATATCTATCATATTGTATGCT